TCAATAATCGTCATATCGTGATAAAATTGTTATCGTGATATTATCGTTATCGTGAGCTTTGTATTGTGTATCGTATTGTATCGTGAGGTATCCTTAGGTTCCCACCCCTAATTCCATCACTAAGGGTGTATTCAGACCTGAAAAGTCCTTTGCTCCGCTTGCTTGATCCGAATCAAAAGCGGACCAAACTTTTTTCTTTTGCTCCGGTTCGTATTCAGACTGTCCTTTTTGCAAGTGAACTTTTTTATATAAACATATTGACACGTGTGACGATCGGCGCTCCTATTGGACAGCGAGAGCTCAGGGAGGATAGACGCGGAACCGGCAGAAAACATTGAGGGCTCGTATGTGCAGCATGTCTGCTCTGCCTATATTTGCTCTTTTTAGAGTAAAACCACCTTCAACATCAACAGCAGCTCATATGACACAGGCCAAACCAGTGGCGGCCGGCCAATAGAGGGCGCTAGGGCGCCGCCCCACCACTCACAACTTGCCATGTTACCTTGAATAAAACGTTAAAAAAAATAATAACATTAAAATATTTCGAAATGTATGTGTGTTTTATTTCAGATGTGGAAGAAATACTTTATAGTTTATGCTGAGTTGGATTGATTAAGCTCATCAGCGTTGTTTGTGTCGGACTGAGGACGTATTTCCGCCTCAGGGCGCAAAAGATTGCGCCCTGAGCCGTCTATGGACTCTCGTTAAAAGTTGGACATTCGCAGTAGCTCCTCTTCAATGCAAGAGATAAGACGATTTGGGGGCGCAGGAGAAGTGCGCCCTGAGGGGGCGGGATCGCCCGCGACCTGTACTGTCACTGTCTGTGACGTCCGTTTACAGTGATTGACAGGTCAAGCTGTGGGAGTTTGAGACGAACGTAAAGAGACGCAAAATGGAGAACGAGAAAAAGAATAATTCAGTTAGATCACTCAAAACAATACCGTTTGAGAGAAGATCATACCAGGAGAAGGTTGAGGTTAAAGAGCTTGGACCTGATCAGCCAAATATTACCATTAGTCAGCAGTCCAGCGACAGGGGGAGACGTACACTCGTACTTTTTTCCAGGACCTGGTTCAGCGCCAAATCTTGGCTAGCAGCATGTAGCGAGGCTAATGCTTTATTTTGCTTTCCATGCCTCTTGTTTCAAACATCAGGATCTGACCCAGCATGGATCAAGACAGGTATGACTGATCTGAAGCACTTTTTAGAAAAGGCAAAGAAGCATGAGCAGACTGGTATCCACATGCAAAATGCCCTCAAATTAGCTATGTTTGGGAAGATAAATATTTCATCCCAGCTGGATGAAAGCTACAGGGTAGGGATCAGAAAGCACAATGAGGAGGTTGACAAGAATAGGCACATCCTATCAAAAATAATAGACTGTGTCAAATTCTGTGGTGCATTTGAACTTGCCCTGCGATTCTCGTGTGAGGCTTCAGTCACAACAGTCAGTGTAAACTTACTTACTGCTGGTATATATCTAGTCATCATATTCATAGCCCCCCCAGTAGAAAATTCCACCAGCCGCCACTGGGCCAAACACGTTGTTTTAAATATTGGAACAGCGTCGGAGAATCCGTGAGGAGAAAGCCGAAGGAGACTGTGCGCTCCGTGTCCTGTCCCACACATGGATCTATGATAATAACGGCCCTGTTCAGCATTGTGGATAAACCATGGATCTATAATAACCACGGGACAAACAGGCGCTGACGATCAGGTAGGAAGCAAAGAACACAATTCACTACATGATGCGGAATATTGCTCTTTGAGACGCGAGTCAAACAGTGTCAGGCTTTTAATAATGCAAATGGTTTGAAGATGCTGCCATTAACATTAATGTATACTGTGAACAGTTCTAACTCCATAAGCCTGTTGCACAGCGTCTCCTCACTGCTCCAGTCTGCACACGGCTCATTGTTGTTGTGTAGCGTTAGCAGCATAGTTAGCAGCATAGTTAGCCGCTGAGACGCGTGGCTAATTCCTCAGTTTCTGTCTGCTGCTTGTTAAGCCCAAAAAATGCGCACGTATCTTGGAGTTGTGTCGGATCGACACCGGATGTATTCAGACCTGATTCGACTTCGACCAGAATTCGTTTGGAAGCGGACCGAGACCACCTCAAAAAGTGAGTCTCGGTTCGGTTCTTTGGTCCGGACCAGGATTCGTTTGTGTGTATTCAGACCTGCATAAAAGATTCGGATCAGAGTTCCAAACGAATCCTGGTCCGTTTAAAGTGGAGCAAATGTGCAGGTCTGAAAAGTCCTTTGCTCCGCTTGCTTGATCCGAATCAAAAGCGGACCAAACTTTTTTCTTTTGCTCCGGTTCGTATTCAGACTGTCCTTTTTGCAAGTGAACTTTTTTATATAAACATATCGACACGTGTGACGATCGGCGCTCCTATTGGACAGCAGAGCTCACGGAGGATAGATGCGGTGTTACGTCGAGCCGCGTTTCCCCGTCAGATACTGTTTCCCCTGCGTCTACTCGCCGCTCCGCACCTCGCACGCGGCAAATAGTGCGCGTGCTTGTTCAGCACTCGTAACCAGCGAGCCGTGCTTGCGCGGCGAGGCAACTACAGACACAGTGAAAGCACCTGAGTGAAGTTGGCCCCTACCCCACGCAAAACTCAGTGAAAAATAGCCACACTCGTTAGTGCTGGTTTGTGCAGAAAAAATATCGTTTGTGCTGTTTTGGTTTTTCAGGTATGACAACTTTATATTAATATAGCCTATATATATATATAATATGATATGACAAATAAATATGTATGTATGTATGTATGTATGTATGTATGTATGTATGTATATATATATATATAGCCTATATATAGCCTATATATATATATATATAGCCTATATATATATATATATATATATATATATATATATATATATATATATAGGCTGTTATATATATATATATATATAATGTATATATATATTCACAAATATATATATATAAATACATTTATCTATCATGTGTATATATACATGTATTCCCCCTGTGTTAAACAGGGGAAACGCATCCTGATGGCCAAATAACCCCCGTCAGATACCGTTCCCCCTGTGTTAAACAGGGGAAACGCATCCTGATGGCCAAATAACCCCCGTCAGATACCGTTCCCTCAGTTTTAAACGGGGGAAACGGTATCTGACGGCCAAATTACCCCCGTCAGATACCGTTCCCTCAATGTTTAACAGGGGAAACGCATCCTGATGGCCAAATAACCCCCATCAAATACCGTTCCCATATATATACATACATACATACATACATATTTATTTATTTATTTGTCATATCATATTATATATATATATAGGCTATATTAATATAAAGTTGTCATACCTGAAAAACCAAAACAGCACAAACGATATTTTTTCTGCACAAACCAGCACTAACGAGTGTGGCTATTTTTCACTGAGTTTTGCGTGGGGTAGGGGCCAACTTCACTCAGGTGCTTTCACTGTGTCTGTAGTTGCCTCGCCGCGCAAGCACGGCTCGCTGGTTACGAGTGCTGAACAAGCACGCGCACTATTTGCCGCGTGCGAGGTGCGGGAGCGGCGCGTAGACGCAGGGGAAACAGTATCTGACGGGGAAACGCGGCTCGACGTAACAGCGGAACCGGAGGAAAACATTGAGGGATCGTATGTGCAGCATGTCTGCTCTGCCTCTGTTTGCTCTTTTTAGAGCAAAACCACCTTCAACAGCAGCTCACATGACGCAGGCGAAACACGTTGTTTTAAATATTGGAACAGCGTCGGAGAATGCGTGAGGAGAAAGACGAAGGAGACTCTGTCTGTGCGCTCCGTGTCCTGTCCTGTCCCACACATGGATCTATTATAATAACGGCCCTGTTCAGCATTGTGGATAAACCATGGATCTATAATAACCACGGGACAAACAGACGCTGAGGATCAGGTAGGAACCAAAGAACACAATTCACTACATGATGCGGAATATTGCTCTTTGAAACGTGAGTCAAACAGTGTCAGGCTTTTAATAATGCAAATGGTTTGAAGATGCTGCCATTAACATCAATGTATACTGTGAACAGTTTTAACTCCATAAGCCTGTTGCACAGCGTCTCCTCACTGCTCCAGGTCTGCCCACGGCTCAGTGTTGTTGTGTAGCGTTAGCAGCATAGTTAGCAGCATAGTTAGCAGCATAGTTAGCCGCTGCATGGCTAATTCCTCACAGTTTCTGTCTGCGGCTTGTTAAGCCCAAAAAATGCGCACGTATCTTGGAGTTGTGTCGGATCGACACCGGATGTATTCAGACCTGATTCGACTTGGACCAGAATTCGTTTGGAAGCGGACCGAGACCACCTCAAAAAGTGGGTCTCGGTTCGGTTCTTTGGTCCGGACCAGGATTCGTTTGTGTGTATTCAGACCTGCATAAAAGATTCGGATCAGAGTTCCAAACGAATCCTGGTCCGTTTAAAGTGGAGCAAATGTGCAGGTCTGAATACACCCTTAATTAGTCCATTGATAAACTTGTATAGCTCTGTATGCTAAATGCTTTCTAACAACAAATATGAAATTTCCCCACTGTGTGAAGAATCTCTTAATCTTAATCTTAACACTAGAAGACCCAAGAGAAATAGGCCCCTGTTTTGCTGTCAATGCATTTTCCTATCCCTACTCGTAAATCTATAAAGTCAGAACACTTATTTGCATCATGTCACTAATGGAAACAGCCTTTTATGACTATGACGTCTAATAGTGTTCCACAAAGAACTTTTTCACAACCCAAAACTTTGTGGTATTCCTTCTTGCTGTCACTGGTTTGACTGAGAACAGAGACGCTGGCTGGATGTGTTCGCCAGTGCCAGACGGAGCCATTTTTCTTGTACGTTTCCATCTCTGCAGAGTAATGGAGAGCAGGCCGAGCAGGAGGAATGCTAAATGTGCTCAGAATGTACCAAGGCCAGATGGATGGAGTGCCTTTGACAGAGCAGGCACATGTGAATGAGGAATCATGCGGAGACAGAGACCCACACTTACCAACTCCAAAGAGCTCTGTGGCATTGAAGTCATCAGTTCCTGCCAGCAGACTCACTTCAGTAGCGGCTGTCTTGAAAGCGTCCTCGATACCTTTGGACGCACAAGGACACATAAAAAGATGGTGAGAGCGATGAAAGGAACTTGCAACAACGTCAAAAGAGGATCTCCGGACTGATCGCTCGTATTGAACTTCTGTACTGATGATGGGTCTGGTGTAGAATCAGAATCCAAAATCAGAATAATTGTTATTGCCATGAAAGGAAGAGGAAGTTACAGTCTATGAAATTGCTTTGGCGCTCAAAAAAGTCAAAAGTAGAGAATAGAATGAGGCATAAAAAAAATCTACAAACATCTACAACGGTCTACAGACAGTAAAATATGAGACGGTGCCCAATGCAATGCTTTTGAATTACAGAAGCAGTTTGATTGAATTTTTTGTCCAAATTGAAGTAATTCAGGTATCAAATTTGTCCTCTGCATTTGACCCATCTTAATTGTCACTATAGGGCCATGTTTTGGGCGGGAAAACAGGAGCACCTGGAGGAAATCTACCAAAATGCAAACTCCACAGAGAAAGGCCCGAGCCAGAACTGATCATGTTTGTATGTTTATAGGACAAATAACAAGATGTCAACAATATATGGGTCATCTATTGTATGTAAGATCTTATGTTGGTTTTTATATATAACATTTACATTGAACATTTTAATAATACATTCTACAAATTAAATTTAACATTTTATTCACAAGTCATTTTTATTTTCCATCAATTCCAAGCAAAATATTTCCTTCCTAATTTGAAGCATTCTGTGAGGACCATCCCCAAAACAATATTATGTTTGTGGTTAGTAACTACGGTGATAAGGAACCATTTCCACATTTCGAGATTGTGATATTTTTTGTGAATATGATTTTTATCATATTTGTTCATTTCTAGAAATAGATTTGTACTGGATGGACATCTCTTAGTTTTGGTTGGTTAAACATATTTGCCGGTGTTTTGCCAATCTAGCAGACATTTTCTAGAATAAAATTTCTGTACATTAATATATTGACTATATAAATTCCCAGGCATCCACAGTTCCAAAGGTGGGCTCTCACCGGGGCAGTTGGGCATGTCGCACGTCCTGGACTCGGTGGCGGTGCAGGCGTATCCACACGAGCGAGTCCTCTTCTGGTTCCCGTTGCCACAGGTGACGCTGCAGCTGGACCAGCCGCTCCAGTCGCCATCTCCGTCCATGTAGTCTGAGCACAGAGACACAGACTGGGATTTACAACCGGTATATTCATAGCGGGACTAAATTGACTATTTGTGGGAAAAAAACCAACCACACATTAAAGATATTTGTCAAGTCTATGATGCCACAACCAATCAAAATATCATAGTGTATTTTTTTTGTAATTATGTGTTCACAAAAAAATGACATGTAAGTTAAAATGACCAGAATTAGGCAGAATCTAACTTGATTTGTATTCATTTTTGTAAACCTGAATTTACCCATGAGACCAGCAACGTTTGTTTTGGTTTTTAAGAGATCAGACACGAAAACCCTCAACTTAAAAAAAAAATATATTGCAGCTCCGACATCTTATCCCAGTGGAAAAACTTGGCTGTCAAAATGCACCTGAATCAAAAATAACAACTACTTCAAGCTTTCCCTGCCTTATACTTCACCCGTTATTATAGTGCACTTGTCAAGCACGGTCAATACATAGAGTTATTTTTGTTCATAATAATTGTACCATTTTTCATACAGTCCCATTTCTTACAAGGGAGGATTAGGTCAGAGTAAAGAGGCACTGATCAGGGTGAGACCCTCAGGCCTGTAAACATAGATAATCATACCAGGGAACAGGACATGAAAGGCTAAAGGGACTAAGGGTTTAGATTTGTCTTTTAGAAGATGAAAGCAGGTCTGATAATGAAGTTGAAGATACAGGATATGCTGAACTTAATCAGGAAAAATGAGATACATACTATGGAGAGGGTTTTTTATTTCAGTAACTTTATCAATTCAAGCAGAGTTAGTGTTTTTAGTCAGCTTTTTAAGACAGAAAAGTGAAGAAGAGAAGTCCATCCTCACCCAGCCAATCAGCTCTCACCCCAAACCATCACATAGCACTTCACAGGATTCTTACTAATTTTGCAAAACGTAACATGTTTTCTGTCAGGATGAAGCAAGCATGTTGTGGACAGATTTCTATTTTTTTTCCAGACTCTATTGGGAAATTTGATGAAAATCATGCAACAAAGAAGTTTGGTACCCCAGCTTTACTTGTGCTTTTATCGGTGCCACATCCAGGAATCCAGCTCATAAAAGGCTAATTTCCTTAGTTCTTTAACATTGTTTAGTTTGTATGCCTTTTTAGAGACAATTCATATTTTAATTAGTTGATTTTTGAATTTGCTTAAGCCCAAGACAGTAGATTGATTTGATTGTGAGGTTATAAACAAGCAATGTTATCGGCGCTATAGTCACAACTGCTTTAATAATTCACTATATTTGCGATGCTTTTATCCTTTAGAATAATAAAAGGCTTTCTCTGTGGTATCGGACACACTTCTTTCCACAATTGGCAGTTTGGTAATAGAATTAAAATGGCTAGAAATCCTCTTCAGCTCCAATTATTACCGCGGAGATCACTGTAATGGTTATACATGGAAACAGTTAGCTTAGACTTGAACCACATCACTGCACAACGCAATCCCCACCACACACCAACACACGCCACTAACACATCTTGAAAGCAGCTCTCCATCAATGAGCTGAATGAATGTGGGCATGTTGGGATGGAAGTGTTTCTGGCCCAGCTCCAGACGGTTCGCCATCTGCCCCTCATTACGGGCATTTTGTATGAACGCAGCCCAGATATGTGGCACATGCTTCCTGTCCTTGTCTCCTAATATGGTCAGAAGTGACAAAATAATCATCGTCAATCACTGAAAAAAGTTTATTTTGGAGGCACTGTTTTCAATACATACAGGGCTAATATGTTTGTAAGTCACCTGAAGTAGTGCGTTTCAAGTTGTACTGTAAAACAAAGGGGGAAAACATCATATATATATATATTTTTAAATATATTTTTTAATTAATAAGTTGAAATAAAAGGGAATATATCTAGTGGGCTCCATTCACAATGATATCGGGAACCTCTGGAATGAACATGTCCCACACTTTTGTCATTCAGCCAACTTCAGCACCGTCATAACGGTGGCACCCCTGGTCTAAATGCTCCCATCTCAATTCTGGTCTGCTATAACATGTAGATTATTGCAAATGATAGTTCGTAACCCCTTGCTCTTCTTCTAATCTTTTGCATTGTCCACTTATGTATATTTATACTTAATTTATATTCAATTCAATAATAATTGAATAAAGTCATTACCATTACCATCACACTTTTGTTTCCAGAATCTCCTACCTCTGACACATGTATCATCTAAACACTGATTACTGATGCAATCCATCTGCTGGGGTTTAGTAAGAAAACAATAGAAACTCTCTGTTACGTATGACTACCAATTTTCTGTCTGCTCTCTTTCAAACAAATGTGTGGTGCTGTGAACCTCATCCTGCTCCTGATTGGAAAATCTGATTGGGTAAGTAAGGGATAATGTATAGTAGGCAGGTCAGTATCTGAAAATAAGTACCGAAAGGGCGAAGCGGACCTAGACGCGTAAATAAACACATATTTTTGGTAAAATCGATACATACAATAAATATTCTGGACCTCATGGCCATTGTATTTTTAAATAATAATAACTCCACTTTGAACTTTTATTCAGAAAAGGTCAAATATGATTAGTACATCTGGATACATATATAAAAGATGTAGATGTAATTTAAATAGTAAACAATCCTTACTGTTCCTTTAAACATACATTATGCATTTTGCCAACTATTCTAAGTGAGTTATTATTGAATACTTCTTACTTATAGAACATACTTTCATTAATTTCTGACTACTCCAGCCGCAAGGAAATCCTCACTGGTGATAAATGACCTCCTTAACGTGTCCAAAATGACAACTATTTAGCTCCAAACCGTGACCCTAATGGTGATAAAACAGGCGCTTCTCCGTCAGAGCGTTATCATATGACGTACGCAGGACTCGACCGCAGCGATAACTCAAATTAAACACAAAGCTATGGTGTGCATGAACAAGATTACAAAATGGCTTCACAAAACCACTGCATTATAGAAGAGGATAGTGTCATTTTCCAGCGTGCATGCATTCCTGTTGAACCATGTTGGTTTGGGCATGCTCCGACACGGACTGGCGGATACTGTAAACTCCCGTGTGACTGAATTCTTGCCTGGGTTGATTTATCTTTTTTTTGAGTAACTATTGTGAAGGCGCTGTTGCAGACAAACGCAGCTTGTAGCCCCTGTTCCCGCTGGTGTAACTTTGATGTTGTGATGTCACGTCGCCTCTCTGTGCCACGCTGGAATCCCGCTCATAAAAGAGTGTTAAAGGCTTCAATCAGGGCTCTGCTGGGACCACTGCACTTACATTATGGTGACAGCTTGAATCAGCAAATCGCAAAATTACAGATTCCCCATCGGTGTCTAAGGACATCTGTTGACCGGTGTGAAGAAATTCTATAATTAAAGTTGTTGTGGAAAAAAAACCAGCTCTTATCCACTTTTCCAAAATATGAATATTTATGTCATATTTGTAGTTGCAAAAATGTAAAACTTTTCTTAACACGTTTGTGTCGGGCGTAGATGTGTGTCAAAGTATTGTACTGTAAGAGGACATTTCATGATGCAGTGCCAATGGATGGAAATATATTTTGTAGTAGTTTACTTGCTATAATAAGTAAGTAAGTAATATTTATTGATATAGAAACACAAAGCGCTTAAATATATATATTTTTGCTATGCCCTGGCCAAAAATATGTGGCTTTTCTTTGTCGTAACCAGGTACAACAAAACCAGACAGGAAAACAATAATCAATTAACATCCATCCATCAATCCATTTTCTTCCTCTTAATCCATTTCTGGGTCGGGGGGGTGGCAGTCAGAGCTGCACCCAGTACACATAGCACCAGCCCCTCACTGATCCTCCTGCAGGTGGTGAGTCCACAGGAGCTGAGATCTTTCAGCGGGGGCTTCAGGCAAAGTGGGGTTAAGTGTCTTGCCCAAGGACACAACAACAGCAGTCATCAGTGGCAGTCGTGAAGTAGGTCTTACGATGGCTCGAACCTAAGGCCATTGCTCTACAAACTGAGCTACTGTCGCCCCAATAAATTAACAATAAATATGAAATACAACTGTATTTTAATAATAATTACATTTGAATGAATGATGTACAATGATTATACACCAACACAAAGTGATAAAGATGTTTTGTTTCTGGGTTTATGGTACACTTAAAAGTATATAGGTGGATTTTCTACTTCTGGGTGGATCATTGGTCCTACTAATATGTGCTTGTCAAACTAGACCAGAGCGTTCTTGTCTTTTCTAAAATTCTATATATCTTAAAGACGTCTTCAATCACCTTGTTCTAACGTCAATCCAGGCGTGAATAATATTATTTGATCTGTATTCTAAATGGTTTAAATTCCTCATTCCTCATATTTCCCGTTTCCACTTACCATATTCGCTCTGAGCTTTGCCCGCTGCGGTGCCTCCTCTCCGGTCCCAGTCCGGTGGAGGTCTGAGGAAGTTGCTGTCCTCGTGTTTGCTTCTGTGCTCGTCCGTCTGGTGGGTGCCTGAGGACGGAGACGCGTGCGGCCACCAGTTTCTCCAGTTTGTTGAAGCCCAGTTTGGTTTGGACTCTTTATGGAGGCCTTTCTCCTGTTCTTGACCTTCCAAACCATCCACCACTTCTATAGTTACCTGCAACAAACATGACAACCATATTTATTTATGTATTCATTTATACATTTGGATCCCCATTAGCTTCCACAATAGTTGCTAGTCTTCCTGGGGTCCACTCCACATTAAAACAAAATATACAAAATAATACAAGACCGAATACACATTTCACATCATCCTTAGACCTTCATTCAAGCAATGTTTTATTTTTTTTCTTAAAATTGTATTACCATATAAAGGAAGTCAATGTTTTAGGTTCAGTGTTTTCATTCATGTCTTTGCAGATGTTTCAAGAATTCATGAACTTTTTTTATACAAGAGAGTGGATCATTTCTCTCTGAGGGGATCATCTCTGTTTCTGATCTATTTCAATCTGATCCATCTTATCACAGTCCTGAGTGACCAAGATGAAGATCCATGGAGCCAAGCAAGGACCACCTCTCTCAAAAACCACACATAGACCATAGAGGGAGTGGACTAGTCTACGGTCTCTACGGTCTCTACGGTCTCTACGGTCTCTACGGTCTCTACGGTCTCATCAGGGATGGCAACACCTTAGCAACCAAAAAGCCAATTCGGAGCTGCCCTGATCTCTTTTAGGGAATATCTGGATGTACAAAAGTATATTAAAGGGCGTTAAAGTGAGTTGGATCAAAAGTTGTGCCCATGAGGCTTCAAAGAGCTAGCAAGTCTGCATTATCCATTCCTATTTACATTTAAGTAAGTCATCTGTATTTGAATTAGCACCTTTCACAAACAAGAGTCAGAGCTTTACAATCGTTGTGGGTATCTGTCCTCTCACTCCACACGGAAATGGGAGCGGGGTATGGAATAGTGGAATTACAATGGAAAGATTAATCCTCTGTTTGAACCACTCTTCAATGCCACTGGGACCAGCAGTTACGATGTGTGAACTTCATACTGAGCTTAAGCATTTGTTCAAGACTTTTAGCTTATGGTACACTACAGTGTGAGATAGTACAGATATTTTACAAAACCTTTGCGCAATTATGTTGAAAATGAGCAGGTCGTTACAACAGATGCAACAGAAGTCATCACTTTTTCATTTGTAGTATGAACGATAGAGTATAGATTAGCCTTCACCCAGTGGACAAACGCAGACATCTAGTGCAGCTCATGCCGACTTCAGCTTATGTTATGACTATAATATGATCTTTCGATGTGACGCAATGTGTGACATATCCTGACTACGTTCTACCTGACAAAACTGAAATAACTTAAACTGAATAAACTCCCAGGTTGCTCTGGTTCGCAAAGATCTCGTCTAAGAGCTTTGATTTTAGACAGAGGGTTGAAGCAAACATCTATTGGCAACATGGCCCATGCTGGCTTTCTTATTTTGTCTGGGTATAAAACCATGCGAACGCTGCAAAACGTGTTTGTATAATTTTTTGCAGTGAACCAACAATAAAACAGATCTTCTGCTAGGACATGGCCCCAGATTCCAGCCTCTTTTATATTTTTCCTCAATAGTTTTCCATTTCCTTCATCACTTATCACACATTTTGGCCCCAACCTTGATTACGTACCTAAACTCTGTGATCATGAGCAACTCTCTGATACACCATTTGAAAAGCACTTCCAAATATTTACATCTGATGCAACACGCAACAGCCAGGTGACGCAAACACCGGTCAGTGTCACCGTCTGATCACTGAAAGTCTGCTTTTTTCGCCCCAACACATGTGCCTGGCAGATGAGAAGGACCACCACCGCCCCTGCCCCTCAGCCACCCTCTCTCCACCTAAACACAGAGTTCAAAGGGCTACTCGGCCTCCTCCAGACCATGAAAGCCAGATGAATCGTGGGATCAAAGACACCCCCCACCACCCCGCCCTGTTCCTCCGCTGCCTCACGCCCCTGCTCAATTGGTTACCCAGCTCTCTTCCCACATCTTGAGGCCTTGAGATGGCTAATACACTTTGTCCGTGGTGGGATTTAGTGGTGATGCCTTCAGATATGGTAAGGAGACCCCCTTTGCTGGATTAGACAGCGGAGTGATTTAAACACATCTGCGCAGTGAAGGCAGCATTAACATAAGCACAAGTGTTAGTCAGTGCCTTTCAACTGTCATTATGATGGACGTCGAGACCCCTCCGCATAATATGAGACAGAGGAAGAAGAGGGGTGCTAGTGGGTAACAATGTGCACCATCGCTCCTGTTCCTGTTTCCTGTTACCTTCCTGTGTGCTTGGGTAGTCATGCTGAACAGGATTGTCAAAAAAGAAAAGAAAAGAGAGACAAAAAGAAGGGCAATTTAACACTGTCGCTACACTAACAACCCCACACAAGTATGCATGTATCTGTCCTTGTTAGAGATCAGGCTGGATTCTTCTTAGAGACATGAGTTTTTGACCTGACCCCATACATAAGCTTGTGGAGCTTCCCAGGGTGTCCATTTCTTTTTCTCAGTGACACGAAAAATAGATACAAACTTAATGTACGAGTAAATGTGTGATATTGTGAAGAAGAATAAACTGAAACTGAAACCTCGGTCACATCTTTGGTTCAGCTTTTTCAGACCCTCAGCCAATCAGCTCTCAGCCCAAAGCATGGCATAAAGACTCACAGAACGCTTTCTTGCAAGCATGCACACAAAACAATACTATATTATTTTGGTCTGATTTGTTCACAACATTTTACATTGACAAGACTCTTTTGGGACAAACAAGTATGATTTATAAAATAAAACAAAAACAGGTAACCCAGCATAAGTTGTTCTATACAAAATTAGAATTAAAGTAGTCTCTCTTCATCTGTTTGAAGTTGTATTGTAAAGATGAAAAGCTGACCTGTATGTTTGGGTTCTGCCCGTTGATGTCGGCCTTGGAGAGGTCGGGAAAGTTGTGGAGGTCCAGGAGGAAGGTCCCGGTGTCTCGGTGCAGGCTGCTCCCGGTGCCTTGACCCCACGGCAGAGAGGCTGGGCGTGGGGCCAACCGGTGTCCAGGACCAGACCTGCGCCGCTCCGACTCCAGCTGACCAGAGGAGCTCCGCTTTATATTGATAGTGTTCTGTTAGAAAGACACAAATACACATTAGCTCTCAGTGATCTTAGTGATCGAAGGAAATTATAGTAAAACTTGTAATTACCATTCAACATACATTTTTAAAAATGTTATTTCTGTGTGCAAACTAATATACTGCTCAAAGTATTCAAGTAAGCAGTCTGCTAACAAAATGTACATTTCTAAAAATATTTATGGTACAAAGTTTTTTATTTTGCAATCTATCTGTGTCTATAGATACTCAACACAGGTCATGGGGTTGCATTGTTTTGACCATAGACACACAGCTGTGACGAGCTAGAATTGAATGAATTTAAAAGTAGATTAATAGCATACCACGTTTTTAATACACCATGCAATAAAAAAACACCGGTGATCGTTGTAATGTTGCATGTACATTAGAATTATATGGATCATGGCTCCAACTGTCAGCGGGTCTCTTGAAACACCATTCTTGAAGAAAAGTGGGATAAACTTCATACTTAGGGCGTCTGTGCACTCCAGAATACAACTGCATGTAGCCTGTACTTATGTCAATGTCACAGCCAGACAGTATATTTTTCCATTTTTAACTGACAGTGTGCTGCTATAGCTGTATATAGCTCGCGTGGGGCAGCCTGGTAAAAAAAACACGGGAGACCGGCACTTTTCTTGCACTTGCGCAGAAACCAAAGCATAACATTACAAAATAATTACTCCTGCATTTCTAGACAGGAAAGCATTGGTTCTGCTGACATGAGATTGTAAGTCTGTCCCAAATAGAGAGCTATACACATATGTCTTGTGTCAAATGTATGCGTAGAGAAACAATTACATCTCGAATGAACAGACAGGCAAATAGTCAGCAATCTTGTGTTCTGGGGTGGCAGGGAGCAGAGATCAAAGATGCTCATCAATCACAGCTTGTGTTTGGGTTTCCATGTGGAGTTTCTGCTGCTCAGTGTCTCTGTGGCCAGAGAATGGCAGCAGGGCAGGAGGCTGTGGTGACCGCGGACCACAAAAGCCCCCAATGGAGCGCTTTAAGACCAGCCAGGGTCAGACGTCAACTCTGACATTCACACAGGTTTTTTGCTTTTACTTCAAATGAAACTACTCATTTTTTTACTACGTATTTTGGAACCATTTTCAAGATTACAGCTATAGGATCTAGCTTTTTCCATGTCCAATACTTGGGCTTTCAGTATCTGCCAATACCAGATATGAACTGATAGCATATTTCATATATTTACTCAGAAAGTACAACTAAAACTTTGCAAATGGCATCCTTTCCTTCAAGCAATGATGTTCTACCTGTAATTGTGGAAATAGTAAGGGTTACACATCAGCAACTTTAGAGATTATTTTGATATGTCAACTGCTATTTGGAGCATCAATAAAAGATATTAGATAGATATGATAAATGCATTGTTATTCCAACATAGGGGGAATTCAGGTGTCTAGAAGAAGACCACACTCACATACTCCAGCAGAAAAAGTGAAAAAGGTGCTACTGTAAATTTACACATCTGTTGTGCAGTTCTACAACCAAAGGAACAATGATCTCTTAAATTTTCCGTTTTTCCAGCACAACAGCCTGTTTCTATGGTTACACCTCAAGTTTTGCAGGTGATTCCCACAACATAGAATTTTAATCATTTCAAATGTTCACACAATATACTATAGTTGTTCTTTTTAGGATTAGTGGATAACTCATTTAAACAAACCCAAGCTGAGAGCATTATTTAGTAAAATGACTTAATCTCAATCAAATACAGATCAGCCCCAGATGGGAGGCCCGACCAAACAGAGAGATTGCTCAAATTGGTCCTTTTCGAATAGTTTTTATTGCCCTGCTAATCAGCCAAGCCCCAGTCTGATCATTCAATCTTGTCTTAAGAATTCAAAACATCTTCCCAACGCACGTCTTAATAGCAGCTACCGCTATAATTGCACTAATTACACAATTGCCTGTAATTTGGAGATAGTTTTAGTGTGTGTTGCCTGCAGCCATTAAATGAAAGAAGGGAGGATTTAGACTTCATAATGTTCCTTATGGGTAATCATCAAAGCTGGGAGGCCATTTTTTGAAGTTCATTTGATAATTAAAAACGAGAGCAGCACAATATGGCTGCAGCGACAGGAGGAATATGAGTGACAGAGCAAAGCCGCAGCACATGCATAAGTTATTGACCTGCAAGGGGAGGATCACAGGCTCCTCTCTGCGTTCATCCTAAGAACTTGGACTTCAAGATGGCTGTCTGATAACCCTGCCTTTCACAGAGTCAGAAATCACGGTAAAGGGGACTCTCAAAACACAAGAAATCCACAACGAATCAGTCACACAGCATTCAACGCACACCTATCGCAAATACAAAAGCAATCTACTTCTAATCTATTTATCAGGGGGGTGGGGGGGACTGCTCTGGGACCACACAGGCAGCGCCCTTTGATACTATTCCGTTTTATGATGCTGATTGAACATTTAGATGTAGAGCCAGAAAACACTTCAACACGTCCACACTTCACGGCCACTGAAAAGAAATAGTTTTGTATTGCTGCAAGATGTGTCCTGAAAATGAGACCACTTATGCGAAAGTGTGTAGGTAGGATAAGGACATAAAGTTGACACGTTATTGATGCTGCACTGTTTTAACTGTTCCCCATGAAAGAGCCATTATTACCTTTCCTGGGATGAGGCAATGAGGCAAAAAAATATCGAAAAAAAAAAGTATGTATTCTTACATTTTCTTCTTCCTACTCCCTTTCAAATGGAATGCCTGAATGAATAAATAAACAAACATTCAACGCAAAACTGGCTACATTTTGTTTAGTTTTTTTGCTTTTTTTCCCTTAAAGCAGAAACATGACAAAAAACTATGATGCTTTTTAGTCCTCATGCCAATACAGGCTCATTATGGCTCGCTGATTACAGAAAGTTTGGGCACCCCTGAACTATAAAAACTACATGAGCTCTGGGATGAGAAAGGACCTAGCTAAAAATAATTAGTTTGATTGATTCAAATACATAATCTTGGTCATTTCAAATTGTCCGTGTTTAAATCAATCATAATCATTCACATATAGGACATGTGTGCAAATATTTCTGAAAAAGCACTTACTTCTCCATAAAAAGAAATATTACATGTACCTCATTTAGTCTTGAGCTCACTTACGTGTCCTTTCAGATTATGTGATTTCGACAGACAGACTTTAAAATATCACTGTATTAAAAGCAATTCACAATGTTTATGTCTAGCCTGGCCAAACTGTCTGTTGATTCTTTCCTGACAGATGCCAAGCTAAATTCAGAAGCTTTCATTTTCCAATTTCCCACACAGTGATATTCAAAAACATTGTTGCAATACATGTTGCTCTAGGAATTTTTCCACAAAACAGTTCAGAGCTTTCTATGCAGAGAAATGTATGAATATAAGGCACGATATCTCCTCAAATCAGACAATACAGTTGTCAAACTGTACTTGTCAAACTTACTCAAACAGGCTTGAATCAATGAAGGTTGAGGTTAATGCATATCTCTTGTCCAATAATACTTCAAAAACAACTTGGACTGGAAGTGTAATATTCACTGTTTCTCTGGGTTGAAATAACATTGGACTAAACTAATGATTTACCCCATGATGGTCACCACAGAAACCGCAGATGAACACATTGACTGTCATGTTATTTCTGGCCCTCTATGGATCCATTTGAGAGAGACCTGTGCCCCCGCTGTGTGAGGACTGACAGTCTTAAAAAGCAGAATCAGCAGTGTCCTCTTTGAAGCGGCCTGATTTACAGTCCCTCTGTCACGTGAGCGCCCTCATCAGGGAGCGAGCTTTAATTTGGAGATCAAAAGTGACACACCATTGCTCAGTTGATGTGGGGCCTCCCAGGATGTCACCCCCTTCCAACAGAGGCATGAATGAGCGGAGCAGTGGCCGCCCCCTTCTGTCCTCCCTGTGTCTTCCTCGCTCCCCTTGTTTCACTTTGTGCTCGCTGCTTAAAGGGGCATGACTCCAGGCTGAATTGGGAGCCACTCAGGGGTCCTTCCCCGGGGAGGCTGCAGGAAATGAAGGCAGTGCACATTGTGCCAGATGCTTTTCAATGCTGCACTTGTGGAGGTGTGAAGCAAAACTATCCATCCAGCTCACACGCCTCGACCAGTGTCCACACCACATGTTTATTTACATGACAAACTCTGCACAAAGGAAGACCAGTCAACCGCACAACTGTAAACTAATAGGGAAGAACAGGATGTAATATGAATATCACAATATTCACAAACCTGTTTTTAATAATAACCACCTAATAAGATGGCCTGGTTTGTCTTAATACATTTGTGTGACAGAAAAGTAAATTAAACCAGATTATTTCGATACAGCTGAATCAATGAGAGAGCTAATGTTATGCACTTTTGAGTTTTAATATCAACTATGACACATTAATGCATGGGAAAATACAATGACTCATAATTATGACTATTTAATTAAAACGGTTTTAATGCCAGAGTAAAAATATGAACACTATAGCTTAATGTAGGAAGGTCACGCCACATTTATGATTGACAATATGAAGTGTTTTGCCTGAGGATGAAACATATGTGTTTTTCATTGAACTAAAACTGTAATACAATTACATCTACATGCATGAAACTTTTATTTTTTCTGTCATGTAACACTACCAATACAATATGATGAAGTACTTGCCTATATCACAGCAGTTATCCTAAACTCCACCCAGGCTCAGAGGCTACTCCACCGCTGCTGCGGTGACCTAAAGTAGATTTTTAGAATGATCAATTTATGTGTTTGGTTTGTGTGGATGGATGTGTTTTTGCTGCTACTGGACACCTGAATTACTCCTAAGGGGATCAATAAAGTATCAATCTATCTTTCTATCTCTCTATCCATCTATGGCTATGCCTTGACCAACGCTGGTCTTGCTGCATGGTCACAGGCAGTACGGCTCTGGCTCCGTGGCTCCAGCTACAGGTGCAGGGAGCCGCTTCATCCTGTCATTTGTGCCACACTCAATAGCATTTTAAATATGACACTTTGGAACAACAATACACCCCCTGGGCCATGACAAGCCCGGCTGAAAGATGACATCACCGTCTTCAGTGGCAAACCAATCAAGCATATCCCCAGAGTCAGAGCATTCAGGGCAAGAAGCTATTTGGGCCTGAATAGTCTCTACATGGGGCAGTGCGGCGCTTTCATCAGCAGCCAGCATCCTTGTGTATGTGCTACGTTATGTTATGTTAGAGTGTGTGTTATTGGACAATGTTTGGTCAAGAGGGACTCCCTTCTTATTGTGCGTGTCCTGTTCAATGCTGGCAGAGAAACACATATTTGAAAAATTCCTGGAATATTTCCTCAGCTTTTCATGGCCCACTATCTATGTGAGCACAGGCCTGCGGTTACAGTACATCTTCAGAGGAGCATGCTGCAAGTCTGAGGCTAACTTCAGCATTTCACCTAAAGCCTTGGACCTGAAAGTTGTGATATAATGGCCAAATTAATTCATGCTAAGGAACAAATCAGTTGGAACATAGACCAAACGTTTTATTAATCTCACTTGTTACTTTCCGTCGTAAAATGTGTTTAAATGGGAACTATAATGGGAAATTCCTGCTCTTCACGCAGTCTTCAGTGATGCAGCTCACATTATTTTCATTCATTTTCGTCAGAGTCTACTAAAGCCCAGTGAAAGGATCTGGTGCGAATAAGTTAAAAAAAAAAAAACAATCTCGGACATGAAGAATTACCCAATTTACATGTTGCTAGCAAGGGAATAGAATAACATCCCAGAGTCATGAGTCATTAGTTTCATATGAGGGCTCTACCTTGGGCCAGAGAAGTTTTAAGAGCTCTCAAGACTGTGTCATGTGGACTGAGCTGGAGGACCATATTATGAATGGCTTGGTTTCTGATTGAAGGAACTACACTGGACAGATTTGCACATATAAAATATGAAATGATCTGAGTTAGAGCCTGGTTGAACAGACGTTTATTGAAAGCTGCCATCTTCGCTGCCGCTGCTCTGACTGATGCTCTGCTCTCGGCTCTGACCCTCGTCGCATCAACTGAACGCTTGGCTGACAGTGATGAGCACATGATGACAGAGAACTGCCTGCAGCGAGCATTTAATCCCAACAATAGGGAGGTGTGTCTGGGCTGGGGCTGATCTCTGACCTACCTCTCTCCTCCATCCTCTGCTGGCGGAGAGCTGGTCTGACAGACACTCTGTCTCCAGGGATGAGCAGTCAGTGATCAGCTTCATGGTGCACAACACACGCACAAGTCATAGAAACAGACTCTTTGTATCATCCCACAGACTGGGACAGCTCTCCCCCACAGTAACTCACCTCTATGAGCGCCTCGTCCTGCTCCAGGCTCGTAGTGTTGGCCTGAGGCAGCGGGCTGCTCCTCAGCACAGTGATGTGCAGAGTCAGCAGCAGAAGTCCCAAGAGCAGCAGCAGTTCCGCCGCCAGACGCACCATCTTTTTGACACGGCCACTCTTCGGAGCCTCCTCCGTGACCTGTGGGGCTCCCACTCCAATCTCCGGATCCGCCGGGGACGAGGAGCCGCAACACCACTTGGGAGCCACCTCGGGGATCAGGAACGCAAATAACAAAGGGAAAATGATTTAAAAACTCTGGCAAGATCCAGCTTCTCCTTTGAGCGGTGAAACCAAACGCTCTTCCTATCATTCAATCTTGACTAAAGTTCAATCAAACAGATCTGCTCTGGCGCACAGCACTTCACTTCACGCTTCTATCGGGCGTACAACTTGGAGCCGTGCGTTTCCCCGCCACATTCTCTCTCTGAAGTTTTTCTCAAGTCCACTTTACGACGTTTTCTTTCCTCATTTTGCGCTCACACTTAAGAAAACCTGTGCCAAAACTCCGAAGTTCAACTTCCCTAGAGGAAGACGTGTCTCTCGGGACTGGTTCACGCACTGCTCTTGTCCATTGTTATTGTCGAACGTCCATTGAAAACATATCCAAACGGCGTGTAGCGCGCTGCTCCAGAAAGTCACCCAAATCCCAAGACGGACGCACGGAGACACACGCTGTTCCTGTTGTGCGCTTTTTTAGAGGTGCATTTATACCACACGCCCCTGCACACGCGCCCTCCCCCTCGTTAACTCTTTCGCCCTCAGAGTCACTGACCAAATCTGGAGACGCCAAACTTTTCAGCACCGCGCGTCACGGTCCAGGCTCTTGTGGTCAGAAGACCGAACAGGATCAGTGGACGATGCCAACTTTACGCGTGGATCCCCGAGAAAACCTCTGTAGTTATACAGAGGAAGTGCTATTCCATTAAACTCGCTTCAGCAGTCCTGGAGTAACCTTGGTGGTCCCCAGAGGCGCAGTGGCACAGGCGCGCAGAGCGGAGTCCCTCTGTTCCTGTATACACAACAGCAGCAGCAGCTCACGTTTCAGTGTTTGTGTGTGATTTAAAGGCGCTGTAACACTTCACTTAAGCGAGACAAACGCGGACTGTAACGTGATTAAGCCTTTTATTGTGCGCCTCAAAGGCTCATTGTGTCAAGTAAAGAAGAGAGTTAGTTTAACAGATCCATGACACTTCAAAGTTTACACAGACACACACTTTGTAGGGGTAAGCTCTGTATATGCTGATAGGGCCTGTTTGTGCCTGTTTGTGCCTTGCTGAAATAGAAATGTTGATAAATCTATCCTATATAGACTAATATCAATGACCAAACCTTTTGAAAGTTTATATAAAAAGTCGTAATCTATGGCTTTTGCCTTTTTACCTTTTTAGTTCTATGAATATATTTATTTGTGATTTGCTTTCTTTGTTGTTGCATGCAGGGGCCTGTAGTTAGTTCCAGGGGATTGTTTGTATTATTTCACCAGTAAGCATTTGAATATATATCCTCACATGATTTGTTGATAGGTTGCATTCATGTTACAGATAGTATTTCAGCTGGAGGGCGGGTGCCAATACATGTATGAGAAAGAAGAGTTTTGAAGCAAGTATAATCCATTAGACCACAGCTGAAATGTGCTGACAAAGATGGACTTTGTGACAGTTTTTCTTTCATATGGATTTTCCCTGGAATACAGAGAAATGATCACTAAACTGAAAGCTTTTGACACTTTCCAGATCCAACAAATACATTTGAACTTTGTACATAGGATTTGCTAAACACCACGTCGACTATTCTGCATGAAGTGCAAGTCAGATCTGACCTGCTCTTTGTGTCATGTCATGTTACATGGGATATTTCTCCATAAGAATCTGGGAGTGAGTCGTTTTGGGAGAAGGTGGCCAATGATCTTTGTGTCCTCATGTTGGGCCTGGTCCCCTGCTCTCCACTGGTCCTTCTGCAGAATGACTTTTGACTCTCAAATCAAATCAGGGCAAATATCTTGGTGGGGTTAATGGAGGCTCCTCACTCGCTGTTCCACCGTGTACAGCCCCAAAATGTGGAACATGTTGAAGTCAAGTTAGTCGTTTTATTATTAATACATATTATTTATATTGATTATTTTTTACAGGTTTATATATCTTATATTTTGTTTATATCCTGGACCTGTGTGTGATTGTGTGTTGTATGGATGTTTTTTGAAAATAAATGAAAAACATAATAATTCATTAAAAAATCTATAGTTTCTTTGGAATGTGATGTCGCATGAACACAACCAACAGGATCAGGCTTTCACACGCAGGTGGCGCCACAAACATTTTCAAAGTACACAGGTACTAAAGCAGTGCCTATACAACCTTTTTAATTTTATGGTGTCAACTTTTGCAATTTGATCATTCTGACCAATTTATCGGTCAATCCAACCAATAAAGGCGTAACCAATGAGAATAGCAAGTTTTCCAACCACTGTGGTTAGGGGCCTTTATCTCCCCATTTTGAGCAATAAAAGTTCTTGTTGTTTGAAAAGTTGAAGCCACAGTCTTGAATTTTTCTGAAACTCTTGAAAACTCATGGAAACAGCTGAGACAAAACTCAGTTCAAGACAAAACTTGATTTACTCTGTATTCTAACGTTGCTCTTCAAACTCACTTGCCTGGCCTGATATAAACGTCACATGTGTGATTGGTGAGGGCCACATTGCTGAATTTTGTCAAACACATCCATGACACCTTTTAAGAACCAACTATGCTGTTTTCTTGATTACATTCTATAACGTGGCTTATTCCGTGTGAAGACTTTGTTCTGATGGTAATACTTCTATAGTGTTACAGTCCCCCTCTTTCGTCCTCACTCCGCAGAGCTGTCATAACCATGCAAATCTGTCCTTTGTCTGCTTCACTTCAAAAATCCCTTTGCACAGAATCAAACAATCTCTTCTGTAAATGGAAAACAGAGAGCCGCGAGAATGGCTTGCCTGCTTTGGATACAGTGGTGTACATCAAAGGTCTTAGCAGCGAGGATCCCCTTCAGAATAGCTGCTACATGCCATTCCAATAAGTGAGGGGTATTTGGATCTGCAGTTCAAAAGAGGCTGGTGCGGCCAGGTCTCCGGGGCCTCTCCACCGGTAGTCTGGCTGCACAGATGTTTCGAATGCCAGCTCGTTGCAGCTTTTGCCACTTGTGCTGAGGCAGAGGGCAGCTGAAAGTGAACCAGGCAGCTTTGGGAGGAGACATGTGCTCCCCACCTTGTCGTTCAGTCAACCTTTGTTACACACACACTCGGGCCCACGCTGATGTGTTTAGAAAGGACTGTGATTACTTTTACCCAAGGAGATGGAGAGGTTTTCAAAGACACATTTATTTTTAAAAAGTGACAGGTAGAAATAAAAAGTGAAATAGATTGTTGCTAAGGATGAGGCGAGATCATGAGCCACATGATCTTTGTCAAAGTGTTTTCAGTGAACTCAAGAGTATCAGTCCTCATCAAACGTTTCTAATAAGATAAAGACAAAATATTATGGTCTTGTGCAAGAGCTCTGGTGTGTGTCGTCTGGTGCACACTGGGGTAGTCTTGCACAGTTTTTCCAATGTGGCTTTACTGCAAATGGCAAATAAATGAATCTGAATCTGGATTTTTTCACAAAAAAGTCTTTCTGTTGCGACAAACAAAATGTAATTATGAAAAAAAGTTAGGTACCCCAGTCCTAATTAGATATTATTTTTAAAAGATAACCAGCAAAGCCTCCTCCTGCCTCATTCTCGTGGACCCAGTTTCATGTTGTGTCTAATTTTGTGGAAAATCTCCCTCATCCCTAATACTTCTACAGAGGGAACCATAAGCTTCATGCAACACTGTAGGGGATTACAGACAAAGGAACACTATTTCTATGGAAACGAGCAGGAAGAAAATAGTCAGCCAACAAGCCAGATTGGTGACCAAACAAATAATGCACCTTTTTCAGCCTAACTACAGTCAAATTGAAACATTTTGGACATTTGTATACTTTACTTATCCACGATCACATGTATCTCTTTTGAGTAGTGTTTTAAGTATTCTTCATGGGAAAACAAACTAAATATCCTATATCATTTCACCACATACATGAGTCAAGACAGAAGTAACAAGCTTCAAGAAAAAGACAATTTTATGTTTTCAGATAATGTAACCAACAGATTATCAAAGATCCGAGTTCCCTTGTCAACAGTGTGAAAAAATTATTCTCCGCAACTTTACTGTACATCCCACGATGGTCCAAATGAATCCCAGACAGGATCAGGAGGACGTCAGCGTACCTCACACCAGATCGAGGCCACCTTCTTGCACCTCGTCCAACTCATTTTGGAACAAGACACGGGGATGACATCACAAAGCAGCACGGATTAGAGTCCTGTATTGTTGTGGGAGATAGGAGCCAGATGTGGATATTTATTTACAGATCAAAGACAGGATTCCTCACAGAACATTCAGCTGATACGGTCCTCTTTCTTTATAATGTGCTGGCAAAAGAAGGATTGTTAAAAAGTTTCTTACAACAGAAAGGAAAACTTTGGTAGGGACAGATTAATCACACTCTGACGTACCTATTTCCTGGACTCCCTGCACTTGTGTATCGGCCCCACAACTGTTACTGTGATTTTGGGCGTTACAAAATGTATTTATTTGATGCACAGTAAGACATCTTCAAAAAGAATATATTTAAAACAGTCCCCCCCCTTTGGGATAACTACCTCCAGTAAGATCTGCTGTAGGAGAACAGTTAAACCAATGACAAGACGCCTCAAGGATTTCAGTGAATTACATCCAATCAGGAAGCTGCAGAGGTAAACATGGGCGGGTCTAACTCAAGCTTGTCTCCAGAAAGCATCACTATCTATTCACAGTTTGAAAAGTGAACGCTCACTTTACAGACAAACAAAATTTTCCAACAAACATTGACATTTCCCAACTCTGGGACGAATAAAGGTTCTCTTATCTTATCAATATTGTGCCTTTTAATGTTTTTATTTCAATATAACTGGGGGTCTGCTGAAGGAGTAAATCAGGAGCAGGTAAAAACATGTGAAGAAAGAGCAAAAGTGTACCCTGTCTAAATGCAAAAACATTCCATCTGATATAAAGATTAGAAGTATTTATTGTGAGTGCTCTAAATACATGAGAAAATATATCCTCCGATACTGAACACACTCGCCTCGCCACAAACCTGACTGGGAGGGCCAGCTGACGTGTGTTTTAGAAGGTATATTTGATCAGATTTGAGTGTTTTTAGTGTTTCGATTGGCAACAGGCCTTTATATCTGTTCTTAAAAAGTCACCACATGCTAATGCAAATTCCTAGTGTGTGACTTCTTGTTACTTACAAAGATGTGTATATTATTCAGCTTTAAAAATAACAATTGTAAAACTAAATCAGCTCAACATACAGTAGTTCTTTATACAACATAAAATTTGGTATGGTGATTTTTTTCTT